CTTTTTGTGTAGTCCATTATTAAGAAAATAGCAAATCCCTGAAAAACACTTTTTTTTTTAATGGACACCCACTGATCAACACCTATGTATGTAGACTGGCAAAGTCGAGACTTTTTTTACAAAAAAATATAATTAATTGTCAATTTATCCCTTTTAACGTGATCGTGCGTTGGAGTGAAAATCGGAGCGGAATCACTTTGATGATTATGCTAATTAAAAGTTGTTCACAAGCATTGACAATGAATCAGAGTGCAGCTGTATACATCATATCTTATCTATGTTAATGTACGTGACCTTTCACTTCTGAGGTCCCAGCGATTTTGAAAGATTAGTTATATACATTGGACATTTAAATCAACTTGTTTTCTGTAAACATAGATGAAAGTATCGCCTTTGCACTTAGAAAGTTAAAGTATCCATCTCTGTTATCGAATCGAATCAACTTTTAAAAGGTCATGTTTACTTTCACACACCCACTCACGAAAAATCAAAGACATCATGAATAATTAATAGCAGTCAGATGCGTCCAGTCGGGATTTCTTTAGCGGTCAGGTTAGTTTTCGCGATCACGCTAAAAGGACTAAAAGAACAATTAATTATTTCTTTTTGTAAAACAAAAAAGAAGTCCCAATTTTGCCAGTCTACTATGTATGTTGTTAGAGGACACTAGAAAATATTTCCATTCGCAAGTCACAGGATAAAAGTATTGGTCCATTTATTTTTTAATTTACTGTTAGTTCTGTATTGAATACAGTATATAAAATATAGGTTTTAATAGCTATATTATATAATATTATGTTTTGAATTATGTTTTGAAATATGCTGATATGTATCACCTAGACAACCAGTACTGGAATATCATGGACGTTGTATTGTTTAGCCAGTCATCCCAAAATACAAGATAAAGTCCGGGAAGAGATAAGAGATGTTCTTCCGGATGATGAACTCATCACATGGGAACATTTAGAGAGACTACAATATTTGAAAGCTGTCATCATGATCAGTC